TTGTACTCAATATGACAGGGATAAAAAGCCATTTTTTCAATTAGTCTTAATAATTTCATAAAAGCTATCATTATTTACAAGGACTGGTGCACTGATTTGTTTAAAGCAACAAGGAACCATTTTTTAAAATAACACATTTGTAATAGGTAATATCAGTTTTTGCGAAGACCTATGGGTGCTGACCAGAAGCCAGCGCACATACAGTAACAACAAATCTTAGTTCACAGCTAAACTCAACAACTACGTCATGCCAAAAAGGAAATCTATAGGAAAGGAGATAGAATGCTTACAATCAGGCCAGGAATGTCTTAATAAGGGAGATCAGAACAGCAAAAAGGGCTACTCTGAAAAGCCGAGGAATCATCTGTCAACAAATGAACCAGCAAATGTGTGGAAAACCCTTAAAAATATAACTGGCTACAGCAAACCTCCCTCCCATGCTGAAGGGCAGATGACCTGAATGTGTTTTACTGTAGGTCTGAGTGGAAACCACTGTCAATGATTGCCACCCTCTCCATCTCAGATACACTAAAAACAGCCAAATCTCCTACAACTGACTCTATTCCTCTGCCTCCCCCTCCCCCCAACCTCTGGTGATCACAGAAAAATATGTGCAAGGTCTATTTCACAGACAAAAGCCTGGAAAAACATCAGGCCCAGACAAGGTAACTCTTTCTTGCTTGAAAGTCTGTGTTGACCCAACTGGCCTCCATCCTCACCTGCATCTTCAATAAAGCACTAGAGATGTGTTATGTTCCTTCTTGCTTCTGATGCTCCGCTATCATCTCAGTGCTTTTTAAAAAAAACTCCATAAGGAGCTGAATGACTGCAGACCAATTGCTCTGCAGACCAATTGCTCTGACATCTGTAGTTATGAAAATCTTTGAAAGGTTAGTGCTGGCCCACTTGAAAACCATCATGGATCCACTATTAAACCCCTTGTAATTTGTCTACTGAGCAAATAGATCGACAAATGATGCCGTTAATATGGCTCTGCACTACATCTTACAACATCTTGAATCTTCAAGGACCTATGCAAGGGTCCTTTTTGTAGACTTTAGCTCAGCATTCAATACCATCATTCCAAATATTCTTCTCACTAAACTTACCACACCTGTAAGTGGTTCATAAGCTTTCTAACAGATTGGAAGCAGAAGGTGAAGCTAGGCAAAGTCACATCAGATACCTATACAATTAGCACAGGTGCCTCCCAGGGCTGTGTGCTCTATCCATTACTCTTGGAGTTTCTTTGGGAATAACTGCCAACAATTGCATCTCAAATGATCCCTCTGTCAAAGTACCGAAGTTTGCAGATGATACAACAGTCATTGGTCTCATTCAAGATGACAATGAATTTGCATATAGACAGAAGTTGGGTTAGGGTCCACAACTGGCCCTGTGATGCAGCTGGAACAATCTTGAATTGAACACATTGAAAACTATAGAGATAAAGGTAGATTTAAGGAGAAGCCCTCCTAAATTCTCCTCCTCCTCCTACAATACTAGACAACACAGTATTAACAATAGAGACCCTCAAGTTTCTGGGTTCTATAATATCTCAGAATTTGAAATGGATACCTAACATTAAAAAGTCATCAAAGAAGCACAACGAAGAAGGTTCCTCCTGAACCAACTCAGAAAGCTCAGACTGCCCAAGGAGCTACTGATAAAGTTCTATAGATGAATTATTGTGTCCGTCATTTGTTGCAACCAGCCTGCCTTCCACTGAAGACCTGTACACTGCAGAAGCCAGAAAGAGGCAGTGAAAATATCTACAGACTCCTCCATCCTAGACACAAACTGTTTCAACTTCTTCCCTCAAGACAACATTATTGGGCATTGCACGCCAAAACAACTAGACACAAGGACAGTTTTTCACCATGCCATCAGTGCTAAACAACTAATTTTCACCACACTGTCTTATGTTCCAGGTCCTAGGATGTGAAACCATGTAATAGAACTGTATTACTGTTACCCTTCTCATCTTTCGTATTACCTATTCCTTTAGCATCTTATGACTAAAACTTTGTTGTTTGTATCATATAATTTGTGTTGATTGCTTTTATTCAGTATCCCTTTATGATTTATGTTGATTGCTTATTTAGTACCCTATGACTATCACTGAGAATCTATGTTATGATTTATGATGATTGTATTTATGACTATGATCATGATTTATCACTTGTTGCTTGCATGTACAATGAGAGCTTATGCACTGGAGACAAACTCCTTGTGTGTCTAATCACACTTGGCCAATAAAGAATTCTAAATTCTAGATGGAAGTAATGGAATTAACCACCTGCATTCTTGCAGTAACAACAATTACCCCAATAATGAACCCAGAAGGAAAAGGTCAATAAAAAAAGAATAAGATTGTTCCCTCCTATTGTTTCCCCCTTACTCTTTCACTGCAACAATACCCCTTAAAACAAAATTACATTTTATCTATATTTGGCAAGATACACTCATTTATTCCTTTGCTGTTATTTATGAGGTTAAAATGTTTACCTAAAGACAAAATATAAATTCTGAAAATTAATGTTTCATTGTTGGGATTACTGCTTTTTTTCTGTCTCCTACAAAACTCTGAAAACTTTCATTTGTGTCATTTTCATCTCTGATCATATACCCTGAGATAAAATTAGTCCATGGAGTACCCAAGATACACTCATTAGGTAAGTAATTATTCCTTTATTGCTTAGAAACAACAACATCTCTAAACCTCTTTGGCAGACATGGTTATTCTCCAGAGAGCTGTTTCCTGAATGGGCTCTAAATATCTTGAGGGACTAAAGAGAACTTGCAGACATAGGCAAAACAGCCGTATTTGAAATATCCTCTGGGATGTATAGGTCTTTTCTTTCTGTTATGTTAATGGTGAGTTTGGAATGTTTTGCTGGTTTTACTGTGAACTTTTCTGGCTAACTAAAAAATAAGTTAATTATTTAAGGGAAAGAAACCCATTTCTGGAAAGAAGTTCATCAAGAAGTGAAATTAGAAAAGTCAATCCATATGTTTAATTCAGAAAGTAGCCTATCTCAAGAATTATTTTGATATTCTGGATTTACCCAAACTTCTTTTTCCTTAGACTGTTTTAAAAGAATAAAAACTATGGAGAAATAAATTTCACTGACGTTAAATGCATTCTGTTTCTGGATTGGTCATAATCTCAAAAAGTTGGAACTCTGCACATATTCTAACCTTTTGTGTTTTCCCAGACCATGGTGCTTGAGGTCGCTCCCACTCCTTAGTGGGCACCTCTAGGGAAGCTGGTCTCGACTCCTGGCATGGTGTACAGGTAGCCACCCATTCTTCAATCTCCCTGTCCATGTTAGGCCACCAAACGTAACTCCTAGCCAAAGACTTCATCCTGACAATTCCAGGATGCCCTATGTGTAAAGCCTCTAATACTGCANTATCTACCAAGAGCAGAGGGTGGTCGAGGACTCCTACAAGCAAAGCAGACTGTGGAAGAAGAAAGACACAGCTTGAATTATTACATCTAGAAAAGTGAAGTACCAATGATTAAGGAAGTAAATAAAGGAGGCCTTTTGAAGACAACTAAGTTAAAAGCTGAACATAAGAAAGAAGTACAATTATTGCTGTCCCTAATGTAAACCATGTAAAACCAGAAGGGACAAGTCCTGTCCATTCTATAATGGCAACCTTTGATTTGATTTTTTGATTATGTCTGACAATTATATCCTATACTGTACCACTATAAAGAGATTGCAAGTTCTCTGTTTTCTAGAAAAATCATTTTTGTGCAGAAAATCTATTATCATATAATATCCCTCTGAGAACTTGTGACCAAAACCCACATTCTCAAACTCCATGAAATGGTGCTATTTTTTTAGGATTTGAAAATATTCCTTTATAAGATAATTAATTTCATTCAATAGATCTAGAAATTTCACTTTTGATTAGCTGATTTGCTTCTTATAAGCATCCTCTATGTTCTCCAGCTCTAGTCTTTCTACCATTTCTCCAATAACATCAACATGCAGACAAAAAGATAAGCAAAATTTAATTTCATGTTCAGTCATAATTAATGCTCCCTAATAACAATGCCATTCTGCAACATATAATTCTCAGTTTTATAGATATACTAATAATTACTTGCATTCCCCCATTTTGGAAGAAATGCATGGAGTGCATTGACTGGGCTGAAATCTTGACACACACAAACACACAAATACACACACACACACACACACACAGACACACAGAACAATGTCACTAAACGTATTTTGGAAAATGTGAGCTGAAAAGAAACATTTTTTAAAATAAAACACCAAAAAGAAAAGGCAAATGCAATATCTCTAAATATGATCCACTTGTTTTTATTTTACAAATTAAATTACCAAATTCTTCCAGATTCTTTTTTTGCATGACACATTTAATTTTTTGTGATTAAACCAAATAACACATTGCCCTTATTCCATTTTGAATTCATCTTTCCTGTATGTAGGTGACTGCAAACTATGGATAACTTTCTCCAATAACCTAATAAGTATTTAAGAAGACAAAAAATGTATTCTTTTTAGCTATCTGAAGATGTGCTCCCTAGTTATTTCTCCCATTACATTTTTTGCATTTTCTTTCTTTCTTTCCAGTTTTCCAAATTATTTCCATATATCTTAAATTACTAAATTTCACAGTTATTTTTTTCACAGAACCATTGTACTATTCACAGTTTTTATAATCAATAGAATTCAATGTTTGAGCTACAGTATTTCTCTGTAGTCAAATTATTCTTAGTCAATTGCAAGAAACTTGTTTCTCAGAGATCCCTACAGTATTATAGGAAGACAGCTGTGTCTTTAGCTATGATAGCTAAAAATGAAGAGTAGTGTGGCAGCATCTTTTCAGACAAATATATTTATTAAAGGCATAAGCTTTTGTGAACCATAGCTGACTTCATCATGCGCACACATAAATTAGGGCCCTACGGAGATCTTCTAATTTAGAATATTGGTAACACAATGAAAGGGTCTTACTGTGCTGAGCTTCATATTGGGTACCATGGTGCTGTAATTGTTGGCTACGCCTATAGCAGCCTTCACCTGCTTTCAGAGCCTGTTTAAACAGTTTTTCTGCTTCCACAATAGTTGTTGCTTCCTCTTCTGCCAAGAGAATGTAAGCAGTGGCACACCTGTCAATGAAATGACAAAGTAATCATCACAAAGAGAGCTAGAAAAACAATACCCATTTGTTAGGATACAACCGGTGGGCAAGGGGCTTGGGCATGCCTAATTTGTTTAGGTAAAACATATCACTCAATCCAACAACTGGCTGCAGGCATGAAAAGTCTGTAACATATTTTCAGACCTACCAAGCAATCTTATTCACTTCAACAGAGTACTACTGTGCATGTGCACCATTCTGCAAGTTCAAAGCTATCCAATCCTGAAGCTATGGATCGAGGTAGTAAACTAACATTTAAAATCCAGGTTGCAATGGGATAGAACTCTGCAAATACCAAACTCCATATGTTTCAACTAGGGACATGATTGATTTTGTATCGGACCCATACTATATACATCAATGACTGAATAAATAATAATAATAATATCCAAGGAACAACTGAGATAGAAAGCCCAATAGGCAAACAAAGACCAATATAAATGGATATGGCAAAAAGGGGGAATGGGCATTCAAGTATAGTAAGATTTATACATCATGTCTGAAATAAGTAGAAGGCAATACTTCACAGAGATACCATCTCTTAAATGCTCAGAAAATATATCCATCCATGTGTTTCATGATGAGTATGAAAGAAATATATCTCCTGCATCAACTCCAACTCCAAATATATCTCCTGCATCAATCCAACTCTTAATTAAAAAAGAAAATATCACGCATATACAACTTTAGCTTCAACAAATGTAAGGGTATAGATTCCATACATTCATTGCTCAAGTACTAATTGTGCAAAGTGATATATACTGACAAACAGTATGGTAGTTTCCACCAAGGTCCTCTGTTCCGGCGGGAACAGTATTCAAATCTGATTGGTCGAGAGGTCTGACAGCTCCCTATAAAAGGGCTTCTGCCAGACAGAATCTTTGCTGGATTGTACATAGTTGTCACTTAATAAAGAGCTGTTTGTTGCTGAAACCTGAGTCTGCCTCATCCATTCAGCCTATTTAACACAAAGAGTACTATTTCACAGTTTTCTCCATTTGTACAAGACTTTCCCAATGACAAGAAACTGGCACAGGAGTCCCCAAGTAATAAAAATTTATAACGCAAATAAATAAAAAAATTTCAAAGGACTTTTAGTACACTTACTCATTTAACTCTAAAGCTTCATGTGCTGCAGAGATTCTGGCCTGTGGGTTCCTTTCTCTCCAAGCCTTTTGCATTACTATAAAATAAAACAGTTTTTTTAAAAAAAATAAAGAATAATTTTGAGGTCACACGAGGCTTATCTAGATTACATATTAGATATTAGCAGGGCATTTCACCACACAAATAATTCATTAATTCTAAAAATATAATCAGATACTGATGGTAGAAGAGATATTCTTTCAATAAGTTTCAAAAAGAATGAACTTACAACTAATTAGTTAAAGTTAGCAATGCGTTATGCATAAATGTGCTAAGAATAGTTTACTCTAAAGCAACTATGAAAACTATTAATGTTCTTAAATGGATTCTGAACAAAGGATAAAATTCTGGTGCTTTGATCCTTTAGCACATAAGGCATTTTTGACTATTCTGGGAGGCGAAATCCTCTCCTGCTCTATTTAAAAAATAACAGGAAGTTTCCAGAACCAATGATGATAACACAATACAAAAATGAGTGCTATTCTACAGCAAAGTTTCAGGAGAAACAGCATTTGGAAATACAGATAACCACATAATTCAAATACCAAATCACCATATCAGGAAATATGATATAAATATCATATTACCGTATATAAATTATTAAATGAAACACAAGCATTGTTAAGAATCAAGATATCTGTGATATCTTTTATCCCCAATGTCTTAAAGCAGGATTTACAATTTGCTACAAATTCAAATAAATTTAGTAAAATTCTTACTGGCATCTGCAGGCCTTAAATGGTCAGTATCGCATGTGAAAAATGTTTGATGATCTTGTGCTGAAAGATTCATATCGTAATATGTCAGTGGTTCTCTTCCAGTCACCCAGGTGTATCTGCAAATAGAGTTGTATTTTGTTCATTCAGGACAGATGTGCAGGATGAGAAATTGTAGAACAAACATCATACATTCATAATATGGTGATTTTCCTTTTGCTGCTTTTTCTTTTGGGTAAAAATATATCCACACACGTTCTTCATCCTTCTTAATATAGTAACCTCCATCTACAAATCCAACCAAGGTACTAAAAATGATTAGTTGATATACTGGCACATTTAATAAACTGAATTTAAAATAATCTTGAAGGTTGGCTTAATTGGTTTAAAATAGTCCTGGGTGTACTTGTATGTCAGTTCTATAGTCTCAGTTTTGATTATTTTTAAGGAAGCTACTCTGTACACCTCTGTATTATTTTCAGCTTCTCTCCTTTATCTTGAGGCTTCTGATTTGGGAGGAGATGGAGCCAAGGTGGCTCAGTGATTGAAGTATTCAAATTCAAATCCCCATTCAATCACAAAGCTCATTGGGTGGCTCTGAGCTTAGTCTGACCTAGGTTTAGGTTTAGGTTTATTAGATTTATATGCCACCCTTCTCCCAAGGACTCAGGGCAGCATACAACATTAAAAGAAACACATAATACAAAAGTTAAAAAAATTAAATAGAATATCCCAAGCCCAATTAAAATTGACAATGACATTTTTTTAAAAAAANAAATACATTTTGAAATCAGCCCCAACAGCCCCCTTGGGTCAAAAACCCCTCCAAACCCAGTTCAAAATTTGTTTGATGGTGGAGTCCTTTGCAGAGTGATAGGCAACATCACTGGATGAGACAGGCCCAGTTCCAAGATAGTCAATGAGGAGGACTGGCATCTCGGGGGTAGGGTCAGTGAGAAGTTAAGGCAGTGGGCAGCGGCTTAGAGCGTCAGCATGCCCCAAAGTGGAGCCTGGTCAGTGGATGAGATGGTAGGAGTAGGTAGCTAGGAAGATGGCCCATCTGGTCATGCGAGGTGATGACACTGGGGTAGGTCGGTCCCCAGCCAATAATCCCAACAACGGCTTGTGGTCAGTAACCAGTTCAAAGTCACGGCCATATAGATACTCATGGAACCTCTTTACTCCAGCCACTGCAGCCAAAGCCTCATGGTCCAGCTGGCTGTATCTCTGCGGCAGACAAGGTCTTGGAGTAAAATGCAATAGGGGCTTCAGTTCTATTGGGCATACAGTGGCTGAGAATGGGGAAGCATTGCAGGTCAGCACCAATGGCAGGAATTGGCTGTATTGTACCAGAAACGAGTAGGTCAACAGGAGTCATTTTACCATGGCAAACGCGGCAGCCTCGGCTCTGCCCCTTTGCATTCTTAGCCAGGAGATGTTGTAATGGCTCAACAATGGTGGCTTTCTGATTAAGAAAGATGCTGTAGAAATTAAGGAGCCCGAGGAACACCTGCAGCTCGGTTTGTTTGCGAGATGTGAGGGTGTCCAGAATTGCTTTAATTTTTTGTGTGGTCGAGTGAATCCCAGAGTCATCGATTAGGTACCCTAAGAATTCAACCCTTGGCACGTTAATTGGGCATTTCTCTTTTTTGAGACGGAGGTCTTTGTCTCTAATTCGAGCCAAAACTGTTTGTACACGTTTGAAAAGTTGCGCCTCATTTGCAGCTGATACCAAGATGTCATCAAAATAGGGGACGACTCCTGGTATCCCCTGCAAAAGCCGTTCCATGACGCTTTGGAACAGTTCAGGGGCGGTACTAATGCCGAATTGCAGGCGGTGACATTTGAATGCACCCCTGTGCATAACAATGGTTTGGGCCTCCACCGTAACGCCATCTACAGGCAATTGTTGGTATGCCTACGCCATGTCCAATTTTGTGAAAAATTTTCCAGGGCCTAATGAATGAAGGAGGTGCTGTACAACTGGTACAGGGTAGGCCAGTGATGGCGAACCTATGACATGCGTGTCAGTGCTGACACGCGTAGCCATTTGGGGTGACACGCACAGGATTTCATGTGATTCATCCTCGGCTCCTGCACGGATGAAAGAATCTGTGCTGGAGGAACAGGGGGGGCGGATGTGTGATCTCCCCCGCCCACACTCACTTACTGTATCGCCACCACCCCTTTCTGAGCACAGGGGCTGCTGGTAAGGCGTGT